CATTTATGGTTGAACTAGGGCGTGTAGAGGGCGGAATATGAAACGGATCTGGGTGCGCACAACTCCAGGAGGTCTGTGATTTATAAAGAGAACATTGCGTACAAATGTGCGTGCGCACGGTTTTATAAATCAGATTATTTTTTGGCGCACGTCATTTTCAGCTTTTGGGCGCACTTCAACTTTTAGTATGAATCCTGAGCACTCTTTTATAAATGAGGCCCCTGGACAGATAACTGAACATATTCACTCAGTGGGAAATAACCACTACTAGAGTTCCAACAACACTGTATAAATTGCTATCAGTGACTGAACATATTATATAACAATCAAATCAATACTTAGCGGTGGTCATGGACGCACACAACAAGAAAAAACCCACTTAAACTGTCTCAGTTGACTGGAACTGCTTCAGTCCATCTGCTGCTCTTCAAGAAAGGCCACACAAGTTGTGTGTGTAGAGAGCCGAGCCGTATTAAATTATTTTGATCAGGCTGTTTTCAGGCACTGTTTGTAAATATCCTACACTATCATGAGCCAGTAATTTGTGTATGACCCACATATTTAGGCAACATATATTCAGATATGCCATGATTACTGTGAACAAGATACGGATACTTTTTTTTTGCTTATGATAGTAATCTTAAGTGTTGCCAAAGTTCACATTCATTAATGTAAATGTACAAATTAAAAACATAATTCTTTGTATTTAGGAGAAATGGAACAAGACTTCAATAATTTAGTCCTCATAAAAATATAAAGAAGATATGAAAATGATAAATGTATGCATTAGCTTCCAAATCTGCACGTGAACGTTTGTCAGATTTGCGTCTTCATTTATTTATTATACTCTTTATTCATCAAAATGATAGTCCCTTACAGCAGCTGCTTTACTTCTCAAAGAGACAAAAGAAAACAAAGGAAGTATCAGTCTCCACAATAGCTGTTGTACGTCCCTCCCACCCCACAACTTAACTGACAACTTTTACTTTGATGGCATATTTTACTTCCTTCTGCTTCTGCAAACAAAGTTTCCATGTGACCATTAAAAAAACAACACATATTTAGGGAGGCTGCGATCATGTGATTAATGTAACGACAGGAGTGACGAATAAAGGAGGGAGTGGTCATATTTAAGGCTGCAGGTGGAGGTGGACGAGTCATAAAACACAGGACTTACCACTTGGACTTTCCCCAGAGAGACAGGTGTTAATAACGGTGAGGACATCATCAGTTTAAGGTACGTCCTCACAGTGTTTCTTCTCCCAAAACTCACCACAGTAACTTTACTGATTCACCTTTAATGTAAGCTGCATTTTAGCATTGTAGCTATTATAAACTGTTTGTAAGCTGAACTGATAAGGTGTCGCATTTTATAAACTGATCCTAATTTTTGAACAGAACAAAAAACCACCATAAAACTTCCCCAGTTTCTGAAATGTTATGTTTAAATATGTAAATGAGGCATTATCTAATTAAAAGTGCACTTTTTGCCTAAAATTCCAGAACAGAAATCTGAACTAAAATAAAATCTAGATTTGTATTTTGGATGTGTATTTTCCAGGAGTTTGAAAGACAACACGTTATGGAAGCAAAAAGCCCAAAATCTAAAAGTTGACCATAGCATGGAAAACAATGTTTTCATCCGGAGTATCTGACATCAAGTTTGTAAATGTAATTTCACCACAGCTTATCTGTAAAAGACATTTTGGGATATTTAGCTGTGAAACAAAGAAATGTTTAATTTTAGTTGTGACTGTCAGAGTCATGACTTTATTCTCATTAAATTATGAATTTATTCTTGTAATATTACAACTTTATTCTCAGCACAGATATGTGGGATGTGTTTTTAATTTGTAGAGGAACTCTGAACAAAGACGGGACAGGAAGTTTGACCTCAGTGAGGAGGTGTGGTCAACTCCATTGTTAGGATACATTCCTGAAAGGTGTAATTGGTTGTCCTTTTGTGAGCCTGAGGCGTGGGCACTCGGTGGAAATAATAATGTACTGTTAATTGTCAGTGTGATCACTCTGCTGATGGAAGGTTGAGACTGACGCATTTATCTCAGTGCTGTGGTCGCTGTATTTTTGGTGTTATATCTCTGTTGTGCTGGGTGGAAGATGTGAGCGCTTCTCTGATGAGGATCGGCCACAAACATTATCCCTGCACTATCAGGGGCCATATTCAAAAACCTTCCTAATACAATGAGGTGCTCTTTGTGACAAAGTTCTAAGAAAAGATTTAGAAGCACAATGTTTTCTAAGAGTTTCCCCTTAAAGTTAAGACTAGGTCCTGCTCATCTTAGCCCAGACACAGCAAACTGACTTCAGAGAACTTCAGAGCCCCCTGCTGTATCACCTCACATAGCCGTGTATCAGCCAAAAAGTATCACGTGAACACACTAACACGCCATCCAACAGCCCAGGTAGCCAAAATGACCTGGCCCAGCATTGGCTGAAATAAGCCAGGATGCGTCCAGTTGCTGGACCCTGCTGAGACTCGGCAAGGCTGACACCCCTGAATTGGGTCAAATCAGCTGACCACTGATACTGCCATTACACAGGGCCCTCATGTCTGGAGAGACTTTTTTTTTGTTACTGACTTCCTATAAAGACAGACAACAGACCTAAACTGAATGGTAGAAATATTTAAGTCAGGTTAAGTTCAACACATATTTCATTAAGCTACAGTGACTCAAAATGAACTCTACCAAACAGATGAGCAGGACATTGATTGATTGATTGATTGATTTGTTTATTTAAGTGTGGGCTTACAAGACACTATACAATATATATACAAACAATTCAAGATGGCAAAAATAAGATTCTTATGTATCCATCGACAACAAAAAAGTCAAAGTGTTGTATTCGTATGTGAGACACAGTGTTTTCTGTCTTAATGTCCATGCTTGTTCAATAAATCTAGCTAAGACATAGATCTCTTTCTTGAAGAACCAACTCAACATATTATATTCAGACATCCAAAATAAGTTGGGATTCTTCCCCTGAACTTTTTCAAACAAAGATTTCCTCAACTCATTGTACAAAGGGCAATGAAACAAGAAATGAAATTCATCTTCAACAATATCAAGATCACACAAAACACAAATACGCTGCTCTTCAGGGATACCTTTATACCTGCCCACTTCAATCGCCAGGGGCAACGTACCAGATCTTGATTGTGCACACAAGGACCTCTGACCTCTCCCTAAATTTAAGATTAAGTATGGTTCTGTATAGTAATCCTCTTTAATTTGAACATTGCTTCTAAGTTTGGGTTTCCTCCAAATCTCCTTCTTCCATTGTTTCTTATGGAGATTAAATAGTTTTTCTTTAACTGTATCTATCTTACACTGCAGATTATTACTAAAATATAATATAAATCAGTGAGAGAATACTGCAGGGACATCTCTTGACCAAGGGAAATTATGGGCTCGACCCCATTTAAAAATCTTTTTGGTCAGCCTTTCGTCTGGCAGCCAAAGAAGTCGGTTCCAGAGCCGAACCATTTCGCATCTTCGCTTAATAAGACAGGATTCCCAACCTGTGTCCCCATCGACAACACCCTTTGCAGTGAATTTATGAACTCCAAAATAGCACCCCAGGGCGCGACTCTGAATCATGTTACTTTCAGGGGAATCCCTAAAGCCCCATATTCCAGCCGCACAAAATAAGACTGAGCCAACCATTGAGTTAAAGAGCTTATAAAATGTTAAATTCAAGATGGCCGGCCATCTTGAATCCTAACATATAATGAAGGGTTAACTCCAGTTTTCCTGTTTTCTCATCATGACCAAAATCATGAGCATTTATTCCTACATGTTCTTGACATGCTTTCAATAATTCGCCAGGTTAGGAGTAACTTCAGCATGTGTGGGGAAAATGAAGAAACATGAAGATCAACAAATCTGCGTCACTTGCTAACAACAATGCTCCTTTGAATGAAACTATGTATTAACTTTAGAATGTCTAATAATAGTCTTTAACTCAACAACGCAGCTTCAAGCCTGTGTCATCAACATACAATACCTTCTGTTTTTACTGGAAGCAACTTGAAAAAGAATCTCCAACAGTACCCACACATACATCATAAATGTTCTGTTGTGAATACACGGCAACAGTTTATGATCAACCATTTATTCCATTAAGTATCAAAATTTCAAGATGCTGTATTTGGCACACAACCTATTGCCCCTACTGCTGGGTGACTTTTCCTCACCCTAAGGTGTGCGAGATTATTTCTACCATCGTTAAATGAATTAGTTGAAGCATGAAAATTGTGTGTAACAATGCCAGGCGGGGCAGTTAATGATACATAAATGTCCTCGGGGTGACAGCGCAGTGTTTATTTGTTTCCATACACTGGTGCCTCAATCAAATAAATCTTCTCTGTTGCTGCACCACCTGATTAAAAACATGAAAACAGCTCCAAATTTTCACGATGTGTTAACACCATTGCCGTATTTGATTTAAGAAATATCGCCAAATCATCAGGGGTCCCCAGATTGGTCAGAAATAATTCTGTTAATGTTTTTCTACACTGTTTGGTGCCAAAATTTAATATTTAACATGACTCGTCTCTTAATCTGAAAATAAACATTATAGTATTGTTCTCTATTGGACTACAGTAATCCAGGTTTTAATGTGTATGTTCTCAAACTGCTCCAAAACACTGAATATCTTCACAACTTTATCAAGTTCTGACAAATGTGGGAGCAAATTTCCTACTTTCATATCAACCAGAACCAGAGCAACAGCATGATATTTAATGTATTCCCACAAAACAGTTTGTATGATATCCTACAAATTTGCACCCCACAAATGACATTATGTCCTAGATGTACAGTTACTTAATTGACGTAAAGTTATAGAGGTTAGGTTTAGAGGTTAGAGGTTGCCTTAAAATGACTCAAAGTTCACACAGTTCCGAACATGCAACTCCAGGGGAAAATGATGTTTTAATGAGAAAACTTTGTTTTGTTTTGTCCACCAGAGTATCAAGGATGAAATACATCAGAGCGAGAACTTTATTGCCAGCAGGAGCTCTTGGTCTGCTGTTGGTCTTCAGTTTCTCTAAAGATTATATTGACCACAAAAACATCGGCCTCAACGCAGACGTGAAAGAGGATAAGAGTCAATCCACCACAGATAACTCCTCTGTGTACTCCTGGCCAAGATGTGAACGAAATATGACTGCTGCCAAAATCAGACGCTTCAGGTCTCTTCCTAGTAGTTTAAAAGACTTTCTCTATTATCGACACTGTTGCCATTTCCCCATGATACTGGACCTTCCTGACAAATGTGGAGGAGCTGATGGATCTGCAGCTGTCTTCCTTCTGCTGGTCATTAAAAGCCCCCCTGTGAACTACGCCCGCCGAGAGGTGCTGCGTAAAACCTGGGCTAAAGAGAGGTTGCATAACAATGTGTGGATACGAAGGATCTTCATCTCAGGAACGATGGGTACTGGTTCAGAGAAAGAGACACAGAACAAACTGCTCGAGCTGGAGCAACGTGAGTACAACGACATCATCCAATGGGACTTCAACGAAGGATTCTACAACCTCACCTTGAAGCAGATACTCTTCCTGGAGTGGATGGCAAGAAACTGTCCTAACGCCCGCTTCCATCTGAATGGTGATGATGACGTCTTCGCCAACACAGACAACATGGTCGAGTATCTCCAAGGCCTTGAGGACAACGATGGAAGCAAGCACCTCTTTACTGGCAATCTGATCAAGAATGCAGGGCCTGTTAGATCACCATGGAGCAAGTATTTTATCCCAGTTCAGGTACAGAGATCAGCCTCATATCCCCCTTACTGTGGTGGCGGGGGGATCCTCCTGTCTGGTTATACCGCTTTGGTAATATACTATATGTCTCAGTCCATTACCCTTCTTCCCATCGATGATGTTTACATGGGGATGTGTCTGGCCAAAGCAGGACTAAGTCCGACCTCTCATGTGGGAGTGAAGACGATGGGACTGTCCAGTCGAGATCTAAACGATCCTTGTGTTTGTAAAAATGTTTTGCTGGTACACAGATTCCTTCCAGCTCAGATGTACAATATGTGGCACAGAGTGCACGATCCCAGTCTTAAATGTAGTTCCTCTAAGAAACACCTTTAGCAGCACCAAACTGTAACCCACACAGGCTCAAACACACCTGTTGGCTCTTACGTTTCCTGCACCTCATCAGAGGTTCTGAGAGCAGGTGTGACCTTGTGAACAAGGCAGTAGGTAGTGTGATTTTTTTCACCCACAAACTGTGAGGCTGAGCAGATTTTACTAGAATTAACCTCCTGCAACCCTGCGTCCTCATACGAGGACTTTATATTTTGGACCTACTGCACCTCATACATTATTCTGCTTAAGTAAGACCTGTGGTCCTCTTTTGTGGACACTTTCATTTGCCATCTACTGGCAGCAAGAGCACAATACTCTGCCAAGTCAGTCCACAGCTGATCAGGACAGAAAGTGGACATGGTCCAAATCCTGATCAAATTTGATGGTTGAAACTTTTTTTTTTATTTATGATCAATAATGTTTGTAATTTGATATGGCAACAAATTTGAACAATTTTAGCAACAGTAACAAGACACAGTTAATTAGGAAGTTCTCCTTTGAGGACACTGGGACTTTATTATCATAAGTAACAAGAAGTATCGTAAGTAATTGTAAATGTTTTTGTCTGTGAATTTCGGGCTACGTTTTTTGCCTGGTGGATTATTCAAATGTATTTTAACACACTTAAAAAATGTATTGTTAAAGTGTATTTGTCACATAAAAAATAAGGAAACTTAACATTTACTTTTCTGTAAATAAAGGTCGCTAAAAGTAATGATCTAGTAGCTCCTTATACTTTAAAACACATTTAGAATATCACGACATTTTAAAAGTTGAATATTTGACATACTTCAAAGTGTAGCAGAGAACATTCAAATGTTCTGTTTAAGTAATGAAGATGAATTAAAAGGGTGATTATGAGTATGCTGTTAATCTTTTATAAATATTTATTTTCTATTACTGGGACATTATGAGTATGCTCAAAATACAATGATAGTGCTATTGTACTTAGAAAATGTATTTTAATTTCGCTGCAAGTACATATACAGCATGTAAGAAAATAAATATGCATTAGTATGTTTGTAATGTACATAGGTTAACTTAATATAGTCCAATTTTAGTTCAGTAAAGTTCACTTAACACATTTAAAACTAAGCTCTTGTACAAGTGAAGTTTATTAAATACAAAAATAGTTGTTCCATTGTAACAAACTTTCAGTACACCAAGTATTATTCTGACTGCGAGTACACTTTAGTGTGCTGTCGCATACTTACATTTAGGGACCGTCCCTTATTTATGAAGGGGGAGGCATGTCAAATAACTTTATTAGCACTGGGGAGGGGCTTCTGTTTTTTATTTTGGTGATACAAATTAAAGTGATTGTGTTTTTGCCTTTTTTTAAAAAAAAAAAAAAAAAAAGAATACATTTTGTTTTCCTTCAAAAAATTTGGTTAATTTTTTTGTTCTTTGATTGGCAATTTTAAATAAAACTTGTAGAATTTCTCCCTCAATGTTTTTTTTTTTTTTTTACAAAAAGATCTTTAAAATCAGTTGGCTTTTTTGTTTTCTTTATAAACTTGGGCAGCTTTTTTGTTCTTTGGTTTGGCAACTTTTAAAGAAAACATAACTTCCAACCCCAAAGGACATTTTAGAGGACATGTATTTTTTTTATTTATTTATTTTGTTTGACATTTTTCACAGATTGAGTTGAGAAGGCATGTTTTGGTGATTTAAGGCATGCTTTGGAAGAAAGCAGGCCTTCCAAACCCCAATTAGGTTTGAAAGGCGTATTTACTTACAGATTTGTTTAAATGATAAAATAACTGAGTTGTGGTGAACATATTCAGGCACATGACATGAAACATGAAGGCATCATCAGCCGACACTTTGAATTTATAAAACACTTTGAATTTATTTATCGGAGCTCAAATTTATTTTATAATAAAAATTACTAAATAATTGTTGATAATAAACATCCAAAAGTGTCACATGACTGCTACATAATTACAACTGATGAGCTTCAGTCCATAAAAACACCGTCCCTTCATTTTGTCATCAGTTCTTTGACGTCATATTCACAGGATGAAATTCATGACACAAAATATCAGCTGTGTTTATAAGTAGTTTGGTTGTTTCTGGGGTTCAAATCTGGTGAATGATGGAGCTGCACGGTGCTGGACTGTGAGCACAGGTCCCACCAGAGGACGTGGGGCCCTCATGCCACCCTCATGGAGTCTGCTTCTGACAGTTTGGTCAGAAACATGCACACCAGTAGCCTGCTGGAGGTCATGTTGTAGGGCTCTGGCAGTGCTCCTCCTGTTCCTCCTCACACAAAGGAGCAGATAGCGGTCCTGCTGCTGGGTTGATGCCCTTCTACGGCCCTGTCCAGCTCTCCTGGTGTAACAGCCGGTCTCCTGGTATCTGGCATCAACCTGATTGGGCTGCAGGTGCGGCCTCATTCTACCAGTAGTGACAAGGACACTAGCAGAGTTTAGCTGACTTCATGTTAGACTGTGACCATTGAGTGTTCCCTTCATTTTTTGAGCAGAGTAGTGGAATGTGACGTCACAGCCGGTAGACGGACACAACTGACTCGTTGTCTCTGTGAATAAAAACCAACGACTTCAGAAAGTGATGACCTCAAACACATGGATGGTTCCTGACAAGCGACTTCTTGTTGAACCCTCGGCCGCAGACACTGCATTTATACAGTTTCTTTCCTGTGTGAATGGTCATGTGCTCCATCAGGTGCACGTTCTGTTTGAAACTTTTGCCGCAAATGGAGCAGCCGAAGGTTGCCCTTCAGGCTGACCGTCTTCCCGCAATCGCTGGAGCGTAACGACTTCTTGGCGGGCACCCTCTTTTCTCTCTGATGGAGCTGCGAGGACTCGCCGACACATCTATGAGTTTTCAGCTGCGTGTACCAGGTGAATCTTTTGTAGCAGGCGCCGCGGTGGCAGCGTTTCTCCTCTGTGTGCACCGACATGTGCACCGACATGCGTCTCTTGTGCGCAAAGCATTTGTCTCAGAAGGGGCAGGTGAAGGGTTTCTCTCCGGTGTGAATCCTGGTATGTGCCAAAATGTTCCCACTGCAACTGAACAATTCTGACAGTTGGAGCAGCTGAAGGGTTTCTCTCCAGAGTGAGTCCTCATGTGGCTCATCAGACGGTCCCTGCGGCAGAACATTCTCTTGCACTCCGAGCAACTGAACGACTCTTTGTCGGCCTCACGTCTCCTCCTCTCCTGCTGATGATGTCACTGGTGTTGGACGTTTTCTTTCTCGTGTGGATTCTCATGTGTCGGCTAACGTCTCCACTGAATCTAAATGTCTTCTTACAGACGGAGCAGCTGTATGGTTTCTCTCCTGTGTGAAGTCTCATGTGACTGACCGAGTTTGACTTCTTGGAAAATCTTTTCCTACAGAAAGAGCAGCTGAACGGTTTCTCTCCCGTGTGAATCCTCATGTGTGCGTTCAGTTGCAGCTTCCGGCCGAATCTCTGACCGCACTCGGAGCAGCTGAACGATCGTTCCATATAGTCGCAGTTATTATCACCGACGCTGACATCATCAGTCGTCAGAGTGGTGAAACCTGACTGAGGTTCTCTGTTCTCCTCCCAGTTCCCGTCACTGACTTCAGTCTCACACAAGTCCAGAGACCTGTCTTCACTGACTGGTCCTAAATATCTGTTCGGATCTGAGTTTCTGTCTGGTCCTGGTCCTGGTCCTCCACAGTGGTCTTCATCAGCTTGTGACTGATGAAGCTGTGAGGACTGAGGTTTCTCTTCATCATCTTCACTCTTCACAGGGACAGGAGTGAATGTGAACTTGGTGATATCAGCCTCCTCCAGCCCTTGAAGCTGCTCTCTCTCCTGACTGCTCCACAGTTCCTCTTCTTCCTCTTTAATGTGTGGGGGCTCTGGGTCCTCCTGGTCCACACTGGAGCTCCACTCCTCCTGCTCCTCTTCGCCAACAATCACTTTCCGGACATCTGAAGGTAAAACTGAAACACAGACAGACAGAAAGCCATTATCCCTTAGAAACCTGAGCTTGATTTAATTCAAAAACACGGTAAGAACACATCAAGCAACAAATAAAGAAATTACCCAAAAAATTTGTAAGAACAGAAAATTAAAGACAAATTTTAGTAGAAAAAAGCAATAAAGAAAGACAGAAAGAAAGACGAGAAAAAAGAAAAACAAATACGGAAATGACCCAAAAAATGCAAAAAAATAAAAACTAAAAACAAGAAACTAGCAAAAAAAAAGGAAAAAGTTAAAAACAAGCAACCCAAAAAGATGACCCAAGAAATTTGCAAAAACAATAGTAAGAAGACAAAATTTTAAAAAAAAAGAAAATCCACCCCAAAAAAAGATAAAACAAACAAGAAAATTACCCCCAAAAACTGCAGAAAATTTAAAATAAGAAAGATTTGTTTTAAAAAAAAAAGGGTTAGAAAAAAAACAAACAAGGAAATGACCAAAAATATTTGCAAAAAAAAAATAGTTAAAAGAACATTTAAAACATGACAATTAGGTAAAGTTCAAAAAAGGTTAAAAAACAAACAAACAAGGAAATGAGAAGAATTTGCAAAACAAAAATCAGTAAAAAACAAAAAAAGAGAAAATCAAAACAAGAAAATTAGTGAAAAAATAATGTTAAAAACAAACAAGAAAATGACCTGAAAAAAGAGCTTTGAGATTATAACAATTCTACACCATAATCTTATATATTTTTAATATTCTTTTTTCCATAATAAAACGCTGAATATTAAATATGTTTAACATTTTAACATTTTTTTGTTTGTTTAAAAAAGAAGTGCAGATTGTTTTTTTCTTTAAAAATGTCCCTTTTTTCTTTAACAATTTTGGGATTTTTTTTTTCTTAAAAAATTTGCCACAGTGTGTAGGAATTTCACCCATGTAACGTTGAAATCATATATTGTATTCAAACAGATGGCGCACTCTAGCGCCTCACTGTTTCAAATGTGTATTGCAACAATGGTAGCTGCTGTGGACCAAAAAGCTATGATAACATTGATGAAACCATGTCATGGGATACTTCAT